TAAAAAAAAAAATAAAAAATAAAAAAATTAAAAACGCGATTATCTATTAGGGTTTCATCATGCCTAAAAATGTTTATTAGCCTAAGGCCGGTGTTAGATATTAAAAATAACAAACTACTCCTAAAAAAGTCAAGAAAAACTCTATACAAAACAAACTCGTAAATGGCCAAGGACACAAACTAAGAAATAATCCTTCTTCAAAAAGCTAAGAACACTGTCACTTCACACGACTGATTTAAGAAAGTTTTAAGTAGCGCTGCCTAAAACTTCCACGGAGGTAAAACAAAAGAAAAGGACACTTCACACCTCATCAACAACTTTTCCAAATCAACTCTTCCAATTAGGGACAGTCCATTAATGTAGTGGACAAACTTCATGGTAGGAAAACGACCGCCACACGTGCAACAAGTTATAAACTTGAAACATAAAAAAAACCAGCGGGTGAGAGCCCAAAGAGAGAGCTGTCAACATGGGCAGCGCCTCGAACGGTTGCACAATGGCTAAAACCGGAGTACGGCTTTTTTAAGATCAATACTGATGCGGCTTGGTGTAAGAACACTCTGCGTGCAGGCGTGAGCTGGGTTGGCCGTGACTTTGCCTTGCGATTCGTGATGCCTTGCTGGCTTGCATTGACAATGGGTTTGTGAACGTGATTATCGAACCCGATGCCAAGGTGATTATCCAGATGCTCAGGAAGGAACTGACTCATGACTTTAGTCTTGAATGTCTTCTTGGCGACATCACGCTTCTAGAGCGAAGACTGACGTCAGTGACGTTCGCATTTGTGTCTAGGGAGAACAACCGCGCTACTTATTCGGTGGCTAAGTTTGTTTTTAAGGAGAGTCGAGCTTTTGTCTGGGATTGTATTGGCTCAGAATTTTTGTCCAACATTCTAGCTCAGGATGTAAACATTTCTATCGTCTTTAATATATTTCTATCTTCGGAAAAAAAAAGAGTAGACATCACAAATCCAAACAAGAAAAACAGCTGCTAGCTTCTACCTCATAAAAGAAGAATATTAGAAACAATGAAAAAACAAAAAGAAAACTAAAGCACAACAAGACTTGTTCGAAACCCTAGCTGGGAAACACAACTTAATTATAGAATCTCTAATGGAAATCGTAGCTGGGAAACACAACAAAACGCCTTGAAATGGAAATTCTATATTCTTTATTGGCTGGAAAGCTCTCTTCAATAGAAGGATGTAAAATATTCATCTCCACCGAAAAATATAAATAAAAATATAGTTTCCCTAACATTTTCTAAATGTATAATATATTCATCTTTGCTGGAATTTGATAAAACTTGAGAGAAACCTTCTCTCTAAAATCTTAGTCTTCATTACACCCAGATGAAGACGACGACATTTTCTTTTATTTAAAATTTTAATTTGTTTTAACTTTATTAGTTTAATTTTAAATATAAAAACCAGTTTTTTTTTTTTTTTTTTTTTTTTACAGTAATCCACATCTCACTACATGATTGAATTTGTAGGACCCACAAAGTGCCACATCACCCAAAACGTCGGAATAATTAATAAAATTTAAGCATAATGACCAAATTGATATGCGATGGTCAAACTCAACGACCACTACTATTGATTTTCATTGTTAGAGATCAAACTGAGGAGTTATGTCGATCTTAGGACTATTATTTTAGCTAAAAAGCCATCTTTTTATCTTTAGAAAGTGGACCGGTGAGTTACAGAGAGGAAAACAAATGAGGTTCAAAATTTACATTCACATCTTCGGAAGATGCAAAATGAGATATAAATGTTGTATTTACAACTCAGATTTGTATCTCCTCCATTGGAGATACTCTAAGGAAGAGATACGTCGTGTCAGTTCTTGATTTATGAATTAACTTTTGATTAATCAACTCATTTATTTTTGTTAGCAAACTTTAAAAACTTGAGTTGAACGATTAAAGCTAACAATGAATCATGAATTGATTTATAAATTAATTGTTGATTCATCAATATATATGTATATCCAATGCAAGTAAAATGTCTTAAGTTCAACTTCCACAAATTATGTACACAAATATGTTTATGTTTATGTTGAGTTTGATTTCTAATTAGTGATTGACTCATTGAGTAAAATGTCTTTAAATAAAAATAATATAATAAATATAATAACTATTCGTATCCCAGTGAACTGTGGGGGCATGCACGTACTAGCAATTGGATCTGTTAGCTGCAGAGTACCTATCTGATGTGCATGCATTTATAGGGCCACTTGACTTTGCCTTATACGTAACCTTCAATATTGCGTTTCACTTTTTTTATTTTTTATTTTATTTATTCAAAATATAGGATTTTACAGATTAAATTCGAATAGAAAGATTGGCTCTTCCGCCAAAACATTGAATAAGAAATCAGGGCACCGAAAGACTCTTGTATTTAATTTCTTTATCATCTTATTAATAGCCAGCTATTTTGACTTGATCTCTGCGGACTAATTAGTTGCATGTCGTATTACGTAAATTTATTCATGTCCCTTGGTTTCGAAGTTTCAAGAATTTATTCAACCGCTTTCCCTTCCCTTTCCCTTTCCCTTTTCAGGTAGGTGCGTGTATATATATATATATATTTGATCCATTAATTTTAAGTAAAACTAATGAAAGGAGCTTCAAGCTTCAAATTTGAGTTTTAACGATAAGGACAAAATAAAGGATAAAGTAAATAGTATCATGATTGACTTTTTATTGTAAAAATATAATTTTTCGTTAAAATGAACAGTACCGTGTGCTTTTCGTTAAAACTCCTTAATTTTAACCATGAGTTGTTACTTCTTTTGATAAGAAATTGGGGACCTTTCTTAGTTGAGGACCTGCTCGATCGGGGTCGATCTGTACATAGTAAAGGAAGTATTTTTTTCTAGCTTTTGGCTCCTCACCTGACACATATCATAAACGGGAATTGTTTATGGCCCGGTTTGTTTGCTTAGAATCATAAGTTGGAATGGGAAAACATTTCCCGATCTCGCAAGATATATGTTGTGATTAATTGGTATTGGATGAATCTTAGATTTGGAAAGGAAACAAAAAGGTAGGACTTGTTTGGTGGGATTGGATTGGAAGGAATAACTTCCTAATTTTATAGCATATTGGAAGTACAAGTGAACGAGGTTTCATTTGGAGAGGATTAGAAGAGGTAAGACACGAAAATACGCACCCCTTGCAATCCTACCATTTTGGAGAGGCCTGTAAAAGATATGTTTTTTTTTCATGAGTATTAATTTGTATTAAATTGTATTCTACCTTCTAGTTGATCATAATTTTTTTATTTTTCACCTCAACATGTATACTTTGAACTTAGAAAGTTATCGATTCCAATCTAATCCTATTACCAAACCAGTCTGTAGCCCAAGTCAAATTCCATTAGCGTTGATATTAAGAAACACATAAATACATACGTCAATTTGTAACAGAATATACGTTTTTTGTAGGTCCCCAATAATATTGATGATGTTGATGATGAACCATACTGATAGAAACATATGTACATAGGAACCCAGATGATCTTGGGACCCTCCGGAAATAAAAAAAAACGGTTGTGAACGACCTAGAAGGACCACCCTTAACCTTAGACGTCGGAACTATATGGAGAACTGGAATTGCTAAATTATTGTGAAAAATATAATTAGTAGGTATAAGAACCACCGTTAGCTGGATTCTATTCGCCATAAATCTTTAGTGGACTGCATGGGAAAGCGTGGAATGAAACAGGATATTTTCCATCCATTAACTATCTCCACCAAACCTTTATGTTTTTGGTCACCAAACGGTCCAAACCTTATCTGACTATTATTTACTACAATTTAATTAAATTTATCAGAATGTTAATTATTTCAGTCAAATTATGAAAAGAAAAGAAAAAATCACTTTAAAATCAATAGACGGTACAAACGCAACCCCACTAATTTACAAGCCAATGCAAAAAACTATTTTTCCCATAAATGCACGTTATTCATTCTCAACAATTCACTTTTCGATCTTTGGTTTTTAACAAAAAAAATATAAGAATTAATTTGTTTATTTTTGTTTTTATAAATACCAGATCTTTTTACTTTTGGCAAAATTGCAGTTGATCATAAGTTGAGAGCAAGTCTACCCCTAAAAATACGCTGGCATCTAACTATTTAATCCACTCAAATGAATAGTGATTGACCCCAATAAATAGTAATTGGTCAAATGCATCTCTACCCCTAAAAAATGCACTGACACAAAGTCTAATCAATTCGTATTAAAATATTATTATTTAAAAAATAATAATTAAAAAATAGTTTTAATTTCAGATAGGATTTTTAAACAATCTTGTCACGTCACGTGTCATTATCCAAAAGTACTATTTTGTAGATATATTTCCGATAAGATTTTCAACCAATCCCGACGCGCCACCTGTCACTATCTGTTTACAATAATTTTGCCAAGATTTTGATAAGATTTTCAACCAATCTTGTCACGACACCTGTCATATTTGAAAGTACTATTTTGTGGATAGATTTCCGATAAGATTTTTAACCAATCCCGACGTGTCATGTGTCACTATCTATTTACAATAATTTGGCCAAAATTTCGATAAGATTTTCAACCAATCACGTAGTGTCATGTGGCATTATCCAGAACCTCATCCTTTTTTTTTTGTCCATATAAACTCTTCATCTATCCTAATTCATACACCAAACTCAAACTAACTCAGAATCATTCTTCATCGTTTTTAAATCTTGAATTATTACAATGTCTTCTTCAAGGAGATTGTATGAAATTGATGAGCAACAGAAAAAATTGTTGGCTAAATAGGAAGAATTGTTCAATCTCGAGGAAAGTGAAGATGAGATTTTTGTAATGGAAGAGGATGAGGATGATGAACGTAGAAGGCAGAGACCCTTACATTCCCATCATTTCATGGAAGCTATGGGTCAGATATCCAAACCCAGACGTGCGGCAAACTTGGATAGAAAGAGGGAAAGACGAGGTAAATATCTCTTGGAATATTATTTTATCCCTAATAGTTTATTCCCTGATCATATTTTAGACGTCGTTTTAGAATGCAACGAAGTTTGTTAAACAAAATCATGATTACTAATTGCAACCATGATCCATACTGTTGTGCAAAAAAATGATGCGTTTCATGTTCTAGGCCTTCTTCCTGAGCAAAAAATTAATCCTGCCTTGTGGGTGCTTACATACGGAGCATCTGCAGATCAAGTGGATGAGATAGCAAGGATGAGAAAATCAACTGTTCTGGAGTCCCTGATAAGGTCTTGCTCCGCAATCGAAGCCTTGTACAGCAATGAGTACCTCCGGAAACCCACGAAAATGGACATGCAAAAGCTTTTGAAGAAGGGTGAGATGTGAGGACTTTCCTAGCATGATTGGAAGCATCGACTGTATGCACTTGAACCTGGAAAAACTGTCCAAGTGAGTGGCAAGGAGCTTATGTCGACATAAAATGAGCCAAAAGTATCATTTTGGAAGCAATGGCATCATTTGATACATGGATTTGATATGCTTTTTTCAGTTCTCCAAGAGCTCAAAATGACTTCAATGTCCTTGCCTAATCTCCAGTGTTTGACGAGGTGCTGCAAGGAAAAGCACAGAAAGTCACATATTGGGTTAATGGAAATAAATATGAAGAAGTATTACCTAGCATACGGCATTTACCTACTCCACTTGTAAAAAGTCTGAGGAGCTAGGATATGTGTGCTAGGATCTTCGTTGCTAAGATTTGTGTAGCTAGAACCCCCTCCACTTGTTCCCTCGTTTCTTGCATGCCTCCATTGTACCACGTCATCTTTTTTTATGTCCAAAAAAATTTAAAATTTGGAGACATTCCTTCTAGAGGCTTGTTCATAGTATCACGATCAGCTTGAGCCATCCTTTCTTCTTTAAGCATCTCCATTTCTCGATGAGCCACATCACGTTTCTCAGTAACTGCTAAGATTGCTTGCATAGTCACAGCTTTTACCTCATCTCTAGCCGCTTCTCGTGCCATGCTCAGTTCACCTTGACGAGCAAGTTCATCCATATATTTTGTGTAGTCATTCTTGGAAGAACTTTGTGAGACCCCGTATTTTAAAAATAAATATTTATTTAGAGTTTTAGATGCCAATTTTATTGGTAATTAATGGTGCAACATGGAACCTGGAGGTGGCAAGGGTGGGTATGTTTAAGTGCCTAGTCACTTATTGTCACGCCCCAATCCCGACATACGTCCAGAATTGACACGTGACATCACCAAAAATCCGTATCTATTCTATCTCACCTCCGGGATATGGGCAAGCACAACTCAATAATCGAATCACATAGTTATTTTTCGTATGCTTTATGGCTGCATCTAACCTCCCCGTTAGACTGCCTACGTACCCTAAACAGGGATCAAGCCATTCGTAGTTCGTCATGCACAATAATTGACATATAACACAGTCCAATTAAGTCGAAAGGTATAATGTTTCTCAATCAATCAATAGAACTCGACAAGCATGAAATTACTTGACTCAGGGTTACATAACAACCCATCTGAAAATCATGATTTCCCCTCCATCAATATATAGTCAATTATGTCACAACATGATACCGCAATTCACAACATATATCATTTCAAAGAACCAACGATGTACAATACAATTCTCGAGCCAAATTTATCAACAAGTCTAATCATAACAATAACAATGATATCCAACACAACAATCCCACATGACGATTAACATTTCCACTTCATCCATCACATAAATCATCACGTTTCCCACATAAATTCGCGTTTCATAGCGTGTAACATATTTAAGATTAACAAAGTACATATTATTCTTTAGAAATATTAATCAACTAAAATACTCATGATAACTCCACTCATATCCAACGTCATTCCATAATCACATCAATCAATAACACATACCACAAGTCGAAACGCAAGGTTAGAGCAACACAATTCAGTTGAAGACTACATCTTTGGAAAAGGGGATTTTGGACCACCCAACGGACCAAGGCTCCAAAGGGGATTCCGGACCATCACTCAACGGAATCCAAACAGAACTCAGTTCCAATCCACCCAACCGAATTGAACGGAAGTCCAAAAAACATAACAACGGCTCGAATGAACAAGACATGATTCAAGTTACCCAATTCACGAAACTCAACGAAACAAAGCAATATTGAGCAAAAACCACATCACAATGGGTCATCGGTCATTTACTAGACCTCACATCTCCCAAGCAATTCAATATGCGTTTCAATCACATGTCACCACCATTTCCAATACACAAGTCAAATCACATTTCACTTCATCATACTAATCACTATACTTCCGACATTATATTTCAATACGTAGCTTGTAACATATCAAGGAATCACGAAGTACAATATTAACATTTAATTACGTTAATCAATCAGTGAGATGACCTATCATTTCACGAATTTAATTAAAGAACTCTACATAATTCCCAATTTGGGTTAAGAATAATAACATGGTAATTCTAATTTATTTTCACGATATCTATTGTGGGTAATTCCCATCTACTCGAATTTAGGATTCTAAGATCACCTTACGGAATGAACAAGGGCAAGGATTCCAGGACTACTCAACGGAATCCAACAACATTGGGTTCCGGACCACTCAACGGAACCAAAATATCAAGCGGTTTCTCATAATCTACCTAGACCTGTCATATGTACAGTCAATGCCAATATTATGGAATTGGTGCACTGGCAAATCAGGCACTCAGATAAGCTGAGCGGCTCGGGTAAGGGACAATAAAATAAGCATGTGATACAATAATAAAACCAGTCATCATTCATAATTTATAAACCTTGAATATAAATCTTTCATAGGAAATCAATACCAAACTTTTGAAAACTTCGAGGGAGGCACCCAAACATCCAAAAGTTCATTTCAAACGACCATAACATCTCACACCCATATTCACATACACACAATGAAAGTAGAATTAGGCGACACTGTTCATCCAAAACCTACACTTTGCAACCATCTCAAACTAAACTCCATGAACTAAGGTGGATACAATCCCGGACCATCACTCAACGGGATCGCGGAGTAAGAGGGATTCCGGACCATCACTCAACGGGATCGCGGAGTAAGAGGGATTCCGGACCGTCACTCAACGGAATCGCAGAGTGGAGTAGGAAGGATTTCGGACCATCACTCAACGGAATCCAAACCAGGATACGATTCCAGACCATCACTCAACGAAATCGAGGAGTAGAATGTGTAACACCAATCGATAAAACAAGACATGGATCAAGTTACTCAAGGTACAAAGACTCAACGAAACGAGAATGAATAATGACTCGAGGGTTGAAACATGTTTCGAAGCAACAAACCCCATAACAATGGATTAATGGTCCACTACTAGCTCTCGCATTTCATCACATCAATCCAATCATACAATACAAACCATATTTCCAATCCACAAGTCAAATCATACTTACTGAAAATAAATCACTGGCCAGAAATAAAATAACACTTCAATAGAATTCACATTTAATTAACATGGGTCTATGGTGTATGTATATATAATTCACATTTCAATATGCAATTCGAATCACTTTTCCACAAATATTATCCATCCATAATCAAACCACATTTAATAAAAATAGATCGATGGCCAATTATAAAAGAATCACATTTTAATAGCTTAGTTTGGTTAGTAATGTGTGCTACTTGTATTTATACTCTTGATTGTACTTTTGTGTTCCGATTAGGCTCTTCAAAGGAACAAAATTAATATTATCTAAAGAAAGTACACTGATTATGGAATCTACCACTCAAATAATATCACTCAATTAGTAGTAAAGAAGATTAGAAAGGAATCTGGAAAAGAAAATAGGTGTGGCAAAAAAAAGTACTCTACTTCTCCACAAAATCTGCAGAAAACAGCACTATTAGACCAAGTTTAGGCTCCCTTTGGAACATTCCAAACTAAACCAAATCATATGATATTGTATGGGTTTTGAAGCTTGTGTTCTGTACTTTAAAAGCATACAAAGTTTGTAGAAAACGGAGCTCTAAATTGGAAGTTATGCCAAAGGAAAAACGGAGTCTTGAAACTGGAAACCCAATTTCTGCTGCTGTTTGGCAGCCCGCGACCCAAACTTAAAGAAGGTTTCGATCAACCAAAACTCAATGAATGAGTGAAAACAATTGGGTTACGATCATGAGCTATATGTACTTTCAACACACTAAAAATTGTCTCTTCTCCAAAGGAGCATATGGACTTTAGGCGAACCACTAAAATTTCTAGTTAGTCCATTACAAATTCGGTTTTGGAGCAGGGGTAACATAAAGGCATTTTGGTGCATTTTGGAGCAATTTTGGACACTATGTGGATAGCTTACATTTGGGCTAACATGGATGGACGAATTTTGACTTCAAGAGGCTAGAAATGTGATAAGAAGAGGAAGGAATAAGCTTGTCACTAGCCGTCCTACCTTGTCTCCTAGCCGTCCTAGCTTGTCATTAGCCGTCCTACCTTGTCTCCTAGCCGTCCTACCTTGTCTCCTAGCCGTCCTACCTTGTCTCCTAGCCGTCCTAACTTGTCACTAGCCATCCTACCTTGTCTCCTAGCCGTCCTAGCTTGTCACTAGCCGTCCTACCTTGTCTCCTAGCCGTCCTACCTTGTCTCCTAGCCGTCCTAGCTTGTCACTAGCCGTCCTAGCTTGTCACTAGCCGTCCTACCTTGTCTTCTACCTTGTCCAAGCTACACACTTGTATCCCTTAAGTGTTTCATGTATATATATCCTTGTAATCCTGAAAGGGGATCACTCATTCACCCAATTTTCGTCCATTCATCTAGCCACACCATTCTACACATCCTAAAATCCTAGAAACACAATTCCAGCCAACACTACACCTTGCCGTGCCTATCCTCCATCCAATTCCATAATCCCTGATCCTAAAACACATCCCAACCATCTCATCCACCTTTGTGTCGTAGCAAGGAGAAAGAAGGAAGGACTCTTGGATGCTCAAGCTTCGTCGTTGGTGCATTCTAGGTGTAATTCGTTTTATGATTTCAATGTTTAATTTATTTTCCTTTCATTTTGCTATGAACATGAGTGGCTAAACCCCTATTGGTTAGGGGTGATTTCGAAGCCATAACTATGTGTGCAAGTTGATTTGATAAATTCCAGTTATGAGTTCTTGAATTGTAAATGCAATTGGCTTAACTGTGCGAGTAATAACGTATTTGTGTTTGTTAATTAGGGGTCGACACTTAATTGGCTTGCATGAATATGATGCTAGAATATAAGTTTGTTTCACATAATTGTCACACACTTATATTCACAAGTAGTGAAGGTTGCTAGTCACAATCGCGTTAAGTTCAATTCCTAGCATAAGTGTCATGATGTCATAGTCACAAGTGCTTTGTCAATGCTTATAGTTTTCATTGAACGTAATGATCTTTGATTGTATCTTTATTATGATGTCATGTAAGGAACTTTTGAAGAATGCTTTGGGTTGTCGTATGATGTCATCCAATTCAATAACACAAGGAAAACTTGAGAATTAACTAGTGATGTCACGGTTAATTTGGGGCATTGTCATTCATAATTCTATGAAGGAATAACTGGAAATCGAGTCATTTGCATACTTGTCATGTGTGGAGAAAGAACCCCTAACTAGTCCATCATCCATTAAAAACCCCAAAAACGTTTCAAAATCAGTTTTACTTTGCAATCTGTTTTCTCAACTTTAATTTCGTCCAAATCAAATCCCCCTTTACTTTGAAGTCTCAATTTAGTTAGAAATTGTTTTGGTTCATGTTTTTAAGTGTTTTGAGTCAAGTTTGAAATTAAGAGCCAAGAAGGCTACTCGAAACTTGAGTTTCTTTGCAAGAAATCAATTTTCTGCAACTTACGTAACAACCCACTTCCAATTCATATAACAAATCCCAAAATACTTCCAGGTAGTCCAGAAGTCATGTATACAACATCCAAAACTAACATGACTCAAAATTAACAAGAAATTGACCTTTTGAACCAAACCCTTGATCAAGAAATTTGATCTACACACCCAACAATTGAATCTTTGGAAACCAAGCTAGACATAGGTTCACATGGTCACTAGAAGGTATTTAAAACCTAGACAACACTCGTGAACGATCCCACGCACCGCCACACGTGGTGGAAGTCAAGATGGAGGGTTTACAAACCCTGAATTTCAACATTAACTAGAGGAGCTCAAATTTACGTGGTAGCTAGAGCTCAACAAGGGAAACACTTTTCACAACTAGGCCGACGATAAATTCTAACCGGAAACCGTCCAATTTCACCAGAGAAAACCGGATTTCTAGGTGTTCTAAACACCCAACTCTAAAACGAATACGAAAGCACAAACTAAGCATACCCACTTGAAGATTATGAAGAGTAGATGAAGTTTGATACCTCACTCGAAGGAAATCGTTGCCGGAATCGCCGAAAAAATGATAAAACCGCCGGAAAAGTCGTGGACTTTGAGACCTCGAACTGCAAAGATGGAAAAGAAAAGGGAAAATCTAACATCATAGAGATGTAGGGCTCGTCAAGAGCTTTCCATGACACCAAGATCATCCAAAACGGAGCTCGGATTAAAAAGATATAAGCGGGTCAAGTTTTGTAGGTTTATGGGTCAATTTCTCCCTAAAAACGGGTTAGGCAGCTCTTCCCCCCCCCCCCCCCCCATTTTTCCGAAAAACTCTCCCCTCCTTTCCGGGAGGTTTCCCTCCCATTTAAATTATAGCAATTTGGTAATATTACCAAAATGCCACCAACTTTAAACGACTCTA